ACAAGGAAGTGGACGTGCGTGTGGAGCAACACCTCCGATTTGAGTTTGCCAAACTCAAAGCACGTCGTCGACTCCCTTCAAATTGTCGCCATGCGACGTATGGATCAACCCCTTATGCCCCCACGAGCTCTGTGTCTGTGACCGCTTGAGCTCAGCTCACGACCCTTGAGGTTGAATTTTGCATTTAATGCCACGTTCTCCGCTTCTTCAAGTGATGACGGATGCACACGGAAGACTTTCATTCTCGCCACGTCGGTGCGGAGGCCCTTCATAAAGACGGTCACTGCGTCAGCCTCGGGGAGAGAATCTGCTGCTATTCCGGCAAAGAGATTCCTCAATTCTTGATTAAATTCCACCAGCTTCGTCTTGCCCTGTCGAACAGCAAGGAAACGCAGTCGCACGCAATATGCTGGATTAGGAAACACTCGCAAAAGCTGAAGCTCCTCCAAGAAAGGGAACGCCGCTTCAACCAAAGTACCGCATGTTAGTGCCCATTCTCGCGCTCGACCCCCGAACTTGGATATAGCGCCACGTGCTGTTGCTCGTTCTGGAGCATGGCGGATGCCGTAGCCGTCTCCGTCTCTCCTACCTAGAGCAGAAGATTTTCATCATCCTTATCCTCGAATGTCTCAATGCTCACCACGAGCGGCATGAAGAGTCATCCGACGTCGACGGTGGCGTTATGGACGCAGTCGACGCTGATAGCTTCTGCTGTAAGTGCTCTACTAGGGTATTTACATAATTTGAAAACACCTACTATAGGCATGCGCTTATGGCCTCGGGAACTTGCGAAACAAGGTGTTTCACACCCTCAGAGCCCAGCAGGGACAGCGTATTAAGCCCGTCCCGCATGCCCTGGGGCAAATAGGACTATTGCTCCATCCTCACAGAGGATCAGTCGTGAAGACTCAGTCCTAAATTTACTACGAGTGCTACCAAGTGCAGTGGGACTGTCGTAGATCTTTGCTTGGAGGAAGCTAAGCCAAGGCCACCGATCTTATTTTCCTTACAATAATCAGGACGGGTGTAGTGAATCGCAATTCGCTACCTCCAAGTGTACTTAAAGCCTTAATCAAGATAAAGACGCTCTTTCGTTCAAAATGAAAACTGTTGCTATCTGTTTTTATTTGCGGCAGAACCGCTTATATCTAAAACTAAAAGTTTTTTGTTAACATAGTATTACCTACTTAATATAGTAAAACCAAATGAATATGCATTACTACTGACAGGCCTGCCACGTAATGGCTTCTTGTTTTGGTGTCGTCACATCATGTTTTGGTGTCGTCACATCATTGTGTGATTACGCCAACTTGTGTAATCCACGCCTATATACGGTCACACCATCTTATGTGACCTGCCCTTTCATACATTATCAAGTGGTGCTGAAGTGGTGCAGGAGGAGCGACAATAAAGATAATAAAATGGACTCATCTGGCCTCGATTCTAGCTCTTTCAAAACCGATCGGTCAATTCATGAATTCTGAAACGCGTCAGCTTTTGCCACAGAAGATGTGTACTTTGCTCCGCACAGATGCTGATGGCCATGAACGCAAAACCACGTTGATTTGAATTGATTTAGAGCTCCGCGCTACGAACTCTGCTTCTGTGAAGCTCGCGGTGCAAGTCGTTTATGGTGTATACACAACGTGCGTTATTGTGCACAGTGATGCTGTCACCACATCTCTTGTAACGGGGTCACACATAGAAACAGGTGGCTATCATCAAAATTTGAGCTAAACCTTTGCAAGTAATTGGCCAGGCTAAGCTATTTCCGAGACTGAGGACCAGTTGTTTCTCAAGGGCTTCTGTTCGCGCCGTTGTTTTTTTATCTTGCTCCAGTCCAAAAAAAAATTTGTCCTGCGTCAATGAGGTTTATTTTATTTTATACTGATTAGTAGCATAATCAAGCGCAGGCGCTCCAACATGTCTCGCTCGCGTATACCGTGGTTTGTCAAATCCGGTACAGGCTGCTGGCAGGTAGCAAATTCAACAAATTTGCTCGAACGCTCTATGCAAACCAAAATGCTGGTGCTATCGAGCGTGGATTTTGGAGGATAAAAATCAGAACAGTGAATTGAAAACTTAAGCGGAACTGGAAGGCCGGCAAAGGCGTTGCCGCATGCAGTGGTGGTGCAATATTGGACACCTTCTAAAATACGCTCTACTAGGTTTACCAAGAGTTCATGTCGGTCGCCCTTTTATAAGCATTATGTCGTTTTAATGCAAGGTGGCCGGCGATAAAGAATTGCGACGTCGAAGTAAGACCGCATGTCGTCGATGTAGAGATATCAAGTTTAAAATTTCTTGCTTCCTAAAAACAGCTTACATCAGTGTGGTCTAACTCGCGAAGCGACAAATCAACTCATCTACCGCAACCCATGCCATTGAACATTTTTCTTAAACAAGATTGATGAGACTTCGTGTTGTGTCGGCGTGATGTACACTACAGTTGAGCCTGACCAAGTCACTCTTTCAAGTCTTGTCGGGACAGACGTTCTGTCGATCTTCTTTGACATTTGTCTTTATATGATGTTCCCCCATGTCATGTTCTCCACGGAAGCAGAGCACAGTGAAAATTTCGTCGGTGCCAAAACGACTCTTACCTATATAAGGAACCAGCTTATTTTGCGCGAAACTCAAGAATTGCTCACAAAAGATACCTATGTCATCCATAACCGACATCTCGTGATCTGCGCTGTGGACAAACATAGTCTCGAAACAGATATACATATACACAATGCGGCATGAACAGCTGGGTCTATAAACGATTGAACATTGCTTGTGCTTTAGCGAGCCGCATTGGTATTAATAACTCCACTCGCCGAGTAATCCACTCGGACAAACTCACCGCAGTAAGAAGGCTTTTTGCGTGTCTTGCACGAGCAGTTAACGATACTCAACAGCATCGTGAAGCGGCACTGAGCTAAATGCAGCCAACCAAGCTGTTCTGCAACGTATTCAAAATAGAAATTGTCATCTGCGTTGAAAACGTGGCTGTATTAAGGTAATATAAGAATGCACAACTTGCCACTTGGGGGTCGTCATTCCGACGATTTCGGCGCCAAGAGGGCGATTTGCTCGCTCTTACAAAAAATCACCTGTGCTTCAAAAAAAATCCTCAATGACCGCCCACAGTTTCCTTGGTCGGGTCATCACCTGATGACGCAGTATTTGTTTTAGTGACCAAGTGCACTTTACAATCCGAGGGCAACATACGTGTTGAGTCTATCGTCATCATACCGTGTTATTACTTCAACAAAAAGAGTAAAAGGATATTTGCTAGATCCGTGAGGATACCTGTCCCACTTTCACACTAAGGGATTGGCAAATGCCATGCCATCAACGACAGATTCATCTATGATTAACGATGTGCTCATAATTTCCTAAAGAACCGGTCATACAACCCGGTGTCTTACCACTTACAATACATTGCACACAAACCCTTGGGATGACTTCTTCGATTTTGTGTGAGCGTTTACCGAATGCATACACAGCTATAAAGCCGACATCGATCTCCTCTATCAGTTCATCAAAGTCGCATTCGCCTGTTGAGCGTGATCTGTCATTGCCCCGCACAGTGAGCAATAGTGCTCCGCAGTCGTACTATCAAAGCATCAAAAGGATAAGCCAGCATTCGAAATCGGGGCCCCGTCCCTTTTTCTCGAAATTTGATATGAGCCGTTAACTCCATCGCCCTGGTACAGATTCACTGGGGTAACGTTGATATTTCATTTTTAACCAGAGATACTATCTGGAGACAGAACACACAGTACTATTTTTCCGATTTATTGTTGAGACCACGATATTCGATAACTTTCCTATCTCCGATTCTGCTTGTCAAGATCTTCTGGAAAAACCTAAAGATGTATTTGCTTGACGATTTGGACAGATCATGGTCTAGAGGGAAGCTATCGTAGCTCGAATAAGTTCAAAGCTCTTTGCTTCACGAACGCGGCATTAACTTCTTATGCTTTTGTCGGCCGATGGCTCGTCACATTCTAGCCACACCATATTACGTTGAGATCATATGTTAAATTAAGGTTAAGGCCAAGTCAATGTTCCAAGGTGTCAAAGTCTTGAAACACTGCTTAACGACCAGAAATAATCTCGCAAATATCCTTAACGCAAGATGCACCGAACCAAACACGTATCAAATCCACATTTGGCATTCTCAGCTTTCTGGCAAGTACTTTTTTCGTTTCGACTGTCCTGCGCCGGTTTAATTACACGATGCTTGTCGGCCAAGTCGAACGTCTCACCACATTCCTAAGTCCGGACGTCAGCAATATTTCGGGCCTGTGAACCCCATTGAGTTGATCGTTTAGATTTTCATTGAGTACAAAATATGAAGGAGCTCAGCTTTTTTCGACATGATTGCTCCGCGCTCGCTGAACGTCAACGTTTTGTATTAGGCATTTCAGACGACCGTGCATAATAGCCCAATACTTCTTACCTTTCAGCAGAGAACAAAGGAGGCACGCAAGGGGGATGTTTTGTTCTGTTACAGCTGGAATATTCTTAAGTATTTTGAAACTGGTCAGCATATAGAAGACCTCATTTCTCCTCCGTAGCAAGACTGAGTTTCACCATTCCTGGCCCACAAGACGAGCTTTAACTCTTAGTGTCCATAGTGTCCATCGGGTTCGTACTACGAACGCGATAGATCTTGTCGCGAGCTGTAACGGGGTTCCACGATCCCTAATAACAGGGGTGTGTGTCACACGAGATGAGCATGATGTAACCATACAGTAGAT